CGCCCACAGATATGGGGGAGAGCTCGAAGGCCCTTACTCGCAATCGGTGAGGCCAGGGCCTCCGTGGCTCCGACAACTGCAGGTGAGGCGTCACCTAGTTTGGGCACGGCCTTCGTGGCTGATTAGGGTTGTAGATGATCCTTGCCGGCGTAAGAAAAAAAAAAAGCAAAGAAAGAAAAGAGCAACGAAAAGAAAAATAAAAAGAGAAAAAACAAAAAAAAATTATTTAAAATATTCAAACAATAAAAAAAAATTTCACATTGACGCCGGCTGTGGCATAGAGGACTGCCGGACGGAATAGAGGATTCACCCTACACAATCGCGGACATCAGGCTGTACCGGGGGGGAGTTAACACCCGAACCATACATCGTTGGAAACTAGACTCAAAGATGATAGCCGTGGTGTCTAGTGGTCGTCGTTTGAGATCCATATCGATCCCGAAACATCCGAGACAGAACGAACTAGGAATCTGCTTCGCTCAACCGATGACTGATAGACTGTACGTACAATTCGGGTATGACCAGGTGCTTTCGAGTCTTCCTTCGTGTCCCGAGGGCTCCCTAACTCGAGCACTCAAAGTCCTACACCATGCTCAAAGCGCCTTACGGATCCTCTTCACTGGAATCAGTCGAGGTAAGGTAAAAAGCAGAAGACACTGATAATTCTCTGTTTCCATTTTCTCAATTTTGTTCGCTGTTCAAGCTGGTATTTCATAGGAGTTATTGGATCCAGCGAAGTCTGGTTCCACCCACAAACCGGGAGCTAGACCAAAAGGACAGGTTCCTAGTTTCTGGAACTGGGAACCGACCATCTAGACCGACCGGTCTGGTCCAGTCCCCGGGTGGGCCTATGGAACCAGTGTTTTTCAAAAAAAAAATTTTGTTTTCTTGCTCTGTGTTGAATTTGGGAGCACACTATTTGACCTTGTGATAGTGAAACGTTTTCTTGACAAGTATGTATGGTATATGAATTGTTGTTGCGTTTCTTTCTGTGGATTGTTTGAATTATTTGTTTCCTCTTCCTTTTCTTTCTCTTTTGCTGATGGAAGGTGCTAGTTAAAGCAATACATTGTGAAGGGGCAAGTGTTACAGATTTTATGCTTAAGAGTTTAGTCACAGAACCCAAGAAGCTGGCCAAGTATTTCTTTTAGTTTTTACAGATTTGTTAGAAATTTTTTTAAAAAAAAAGTCGGTCCGGTCCTGGTGGTTGGTTCCACGCATGGAACTAGGAACTGAACTAGTGCCCCCGGAAACTGCCCAGAACCAGATAGTTCGGTCCAATCTAGGCTGTTCCTTTTGCTCATCCTAGTATTTCATCGAGTCTCTGATATTTGATTCATATCGAAATCTTACATGGTGTTTGTTTTAGGGAAATTGTTAAATCAGTTCTAAACCTATTGTATAGATGTTAATTCAATTCTAAATTTTCATATTTGGCCAATTAATCCAAACCTTTACACGATATTCCAATGTGGCCCTTTCGGCTAATTTCCGCGGAAAATCTTTGACATGGCAATGCGCCATGTGGGATGGCCCATGATGACTAAACCACCACGTCACCGGTTTCGAGCAAAAACTGATCGGAAGGACCACGTTAGAATTTCAGGCAAAAGTTTCAAACTAAATTGACAAAATCGAAAAGTTTAAAATTGAATTGAATTGACATCCATACAATAGCTTTAGTATTGATTAGGTAATTTTTCATGTTGGCTCATATATTGATTTGTCCATTGATTTTGTTGTGATCTTCGTTGTAGTGCTTGTTGCCAGCTTCGAATCCCATCATGTTAATATAAATGATTTGTTTCTCATTTATCGTTATTCGCACATCTTTCATTATCATACATGGATACCAATGATTTTCTTCAAAAGTTTCATAGTCTGACAACATAACTTCCGACAAATGAAATGAAGTAGCTGGGGTGACAATTTTGTAATAAAATTCAATGAAAAAGGACAAAAGGAACGATCGGCGCCCTTGAGACCAATCCTAATCAGTTTCTCATTGACCTTGATGCAGATCTTCAAAAACAGCATCATGGTATTCTTGAACAGGAAGAAATCCTTTGGTCGATGGAATCTCAAGCTGTTTGGATAGCCGATGGGGAAAGAAAACTCGATATTATCATACGGCGACTGTCGTTAGGAGAAGTGAAAAATGCATTTTCTCTCTTATAGACTCGTGGGGTCATTGGGTCGCCGATGGTAAGGAGCTGTGACTAACATGGTTCTGCTTCATTTTCAGAATCTTTTTCGTACCAAAAGGATGGAATGAAAAAAAATCTTTGAGAATGGCAATCTATGTCAAATTAAGACCCTGGGTGCTGAAACTATAAGCTGCCTCGATGTGGATATCGCTGACAACAAGACTAAAAGAGTTATGTCGTATTTGAAACCTCTCGAATCTCCTGGTCCTGACGTGCTCCATGCTAAATTTTTATCAAGGTCAGCGGGACGTGGTTGGTAATTCTGTCTGCGCGACTGTTAGAGACAATTTTTGGGACTAGACAGATTCCTCAACATGATAATGATTTCTTAACGGTTCCAATGAAAAGACTTCGACCTTTTGTAAAATAACATCATCGGTCACTACCGGGCTAGTTTCATGCAAGGGAGAGATACTCACGACGATGTGATTATTGTCGAAGAGATTTCTCACATGGTGCAGCAAGCTAAGAGGAAAAAGGTTTTTATTTTTCTATCAAAATTGATCTCAAAACAATTATGATAGACTTGGATAGGACTTCATCAGAAGAACCTTGATGTCCTTTTAACTTCTTGGATGATTGGGTGGATTTGATTATGAATTATGTTTCATTTGCTTAAACTACAATTCTCCTTAATGGGAGCATGATGGAAACTTTTTGTCCTAGTCGTGGTATCAAACAAGGGGACCCCATCTCCCCTTACAATTTTTGTACTCTGCGTGGAAGTTTTCAGTCAAATGATCGAAGAAGAATGTCGTACAGGACATTGGAGAGCTTCTAAAGGAGGTCCATCCTTCTCTAATCTGTTTTCCGCAGGTGGCTTATTTCTTTTTGGAGAAGTTTCTGAGGCTGGAAGTGAATCTGTGATAAAACACTCTAAACCTATTTTCTACTGCTTCAGGACAAAAGGTGAACTCTGCTAAATCTAGAGTTTTCTTCTCTAAGAACGTGTGTTCCTGATTGTAACAAGTATGCAGGGTTATCGGGGATAAGTGCATTGAATGATTTCGCGAAATATCTCGGCTTTCCTCTTCATATGGGGAGAGTTGAAGTTGAGAAAGAAACTTCCAGGATGTAAATCAGGTATGTTATCTCCTGCCAGTTAATCTGTCTTTAACTTGTGAATGAATCTATACCTGGTTATTATATGAAATTACAAAAAAATATCTGTTAGAACTCGTAACATCCTGGATGAGATGAACAAGGATTTCCCTGTGGGATTCTACATACGCAAAAAGAATACTTCACCTTGTGGGGTGGGAAAAGGTCACCAAGGGTAAGGATGAGGGTGGTCTTGGCTACATGGCCCTCCTTGGAGAATTCGTCGGAGAGTCTGTAGGGATAGGAAAGCGAAATGGGGGAATTGGTTAGAAAGAAGTACATAGCTAATACAAATTTGAAGAGAGTCTGAGAGGAACTGGAAAAAATGTTGGAACAAGGTGATAAAGTCTTAGGAAATGGCTGAGACATATCTTGCAGAAAATGGCTGAACTAATTTTTTTGAAGGACAATTGGACAGCGGTAACTCCTGTTCCTAATGTTTCAGCGAGACCTTGACTCACAGGTTAAAGATTGTTTGATCAGCCCTGGGACTTGGGACTTCTCAATCGTCCTGGTGATTTACCTCGAGATATTATTCAAGTAATCAGGGGAATTCCAATAAGTCTGAAGGGAGGTAGGAAGGTCAATTTCTGTTGGAACTTCTCCCAACACTCATGAGAACAGCCTGCGTTCTGCATACTAAATTGCCGTGGATTTAGACCTGAGAGACGGTAAAGTGGAGAACTGGAATTGGGTATGGAAATGTGATGTAACCCCTAGAATGTTATATGGTTGGTTCTTCATAGCAGTATTTCCACAAGGCATCGGCTTGCTCAGAGGCATGGATGTGCAAGATGTGTATCCATGTGATACTCATGGTGAAACTATAATTCATTTGCTAAGAGATTTTCCTTTTGCTCAGAAATCTAGGGATGGTATTGGAATATCTCTTTCTCTGGCAGGGAGCTACCGTAAGTCCTTAAGGGAGTGGATAGGGCGGATGCGAGAACTAAAACTCGGTACAATAGGCCTAAGATTTCTTGAAGTGCTGCTTTCTTGATGGGATTGAGGGTTCTTTGGATATATAGGAATTTTGTCTTTAATCATAATTCCATGCAGGGGAACAAAATGTTAAATTAAGAAAGATTAAGCAATACTGAAAGAAGTTCAGATCAGGAGCGAAATGGCTAATTCCACAAGCTGGCTGGTTAAATTGAATTCTGACCAAGCGGTGGTGGAGAGGACTAACGTTGCTGAATTGGAGGCATAATAAGGGATGATCAAGCAGAATGGGTGAAGGGTTGACTCGCTGTTTAGGAAAACTTCAGCGTTTGCTGCAGAAATGTGGGCTATTAAGAAAGGACTCCCTATTGCTTCAGATCTCAATATAACCAGTTAGAGATTGAATCTGATACTTGATATATGCTTTGTGGAATACTAATGTTGACGTCCCTAACTTGAACTTGATTTTGAATGAACACGGACAATTTAGCTGCATTGTAGCAGGTGAAGATTAAGCATGTGTCGGGGACGCAAATCATTGTGCAAACAAGTTAGCAAAGATGGGATTGACAGCATCTATGTATGATATGTCTACTTTTGATTGTATTACCTCTCATTTACAAACTCTGGTTGTATGGGATAAGAAAAGAGCTCTATCCTAGGAGACTCAGACTAGGCGTTGGCCTTGGTTCGTACTTTGTTATTTTGAGTACTTATATAAGCATGTTTCTACTGGAAACAAGAAAAATCTACAGTAATAGCATTCTCTTGTTGTTGCCTGAGTTGAACAAAAAAGAAAAAATTACAACAAGTGTTCTCATTAGTTCAGACCGCGTTTAAACAAATCGTTCGACCAACCCCACCTTGATCATGATCCGCAGCAACTTTTGCCCCCTTATATATGAATGAATTTTGACAAAAGGTACAAAATCAGCCACCCCCTAGCTAGTATCAACTTGTAGAACACTTAAATTCCTCCTCTAAAATGTCAGATCGCTTCTCAAACTCGAAATTCTACGAATTGCTTCAGATGGGGATAGAGTAACTGATTTCATCAGATAGCCCCCTCGACGAGCGAACTTCACTTTCGCTTGCGTAAGAAGAGTAGAAGTCCTCGTCGCTGTCCTTCTCTCTCACGTCCTCGATCTTCCCCACGACCTCCCTCAGGTCCCACCTCTTCTCGACATCAACCTCGCAACACCTCAAACCAATCTTCAGGAGCTTGAGCATCTCGCTCTCACTCCCGCTCTTGGCCCTCATCTCCTTGTCAAACACCTCGGCCGGCCACTGATCAGCTTCCCCAGCAACCGACCTAACCCACGTCACCAAGTCATCCTGATCGCTTCCCTGTTGACCCTGCTGCAGGAAGTTCGCAGGGAACTTTCCTGTCAGGATCTCCAGGATAAGGATTCCAAGGCTCCAGACATCGGTCTTTTTTGTGATGCGCTTGTTCTGAAGGTATTCGGGCGACTTGTAGGCAACCATGAGGTCTTGAGCGTTTTCCTGATTGATCACGGGGATGAGTCCGTAGTCAGTGAGAAGAGGCTCGAAGGATTCGGAGAGGAGGACATTGGAGGACTTGAGGTGACCGTGCGGGGCAATGAGGCTGGGGAGTTCATTGTAGAGATAGGCAAGTCCTTTGGCCACTCCCTTAACGACCTTCAGCCTCGTTGGCCAGTCAAGAGCGGGCTTGCCTCGAGCATGATTACCTGTAATTAATGAAGCAGGTGGCGTAAATTCCGTGCCCATGAAACGTCCCAATTATTACTATTCTTTTTCATATTGAAATCAAATCTGTATGCACTCGACCTAATTAAAGCGGAGCGACATATGTTGAATGGAAATCTATTTCATAAATCACCTCACTGGACACACTTATAGCAGAGAAAAACACCTAGTGAACTTATGAAAAAACAAGTGCCTCTTACCAATGAACTTACCGTGTAGATAAACAGCCAAGCTTCCGTTCTCAACGTAATCGGACACCAAGAGCTTCTCTTCCTTTCTGTAGTAGTAAGCCACAAGAGAAAGCAAGTTGGGGTGTCTCAGCCTGCCCAGCCTCCTCATGTGTTCTTGGAACTCCTCTCTGCCAACATTATTCATTTGCCGGAACCTCTTGACCACCATGGCGGTCCCACTAAACAGGGCTGCTTTGTAAGATGACCCAAAGCACCCGCTCCCCAATATCTCTGCCGACGCTTTCAGCAAGTCCTGCAGGTCGAACTTCTCTCGGTCGTCCCTGACGAATGACAGCTTGAAGTTCTCGGCCTTCTTGCCATTACTGGAGTGGTCGGAAGAGCCGTGCCTGATATGGCTATCTTCCTTGAAGCTCGCCTTCTTCTGCAGGTTGGACGGTGGAGGGGCCTCGATCGATTGTGAGGTCCGGTTCCGCCTTCGCAGGCACAAGATCAGCAAGACAAGGGTGATCAAGAAGAGTACACAGGCTACGATTGCAAAAATCATGATGGCGGTGGAACTTGAGCTGCCCTTTTTATCTGGTGATGCTGGAGCATCTGCAGTCGTGCACGGACTTAACGGTGCTCCGCACAATCCTTTATTGCCTGTTGGACATATGTTTTTAGGAGTTTCCTCAAAAATTGGTTAGAACAAGTACTTAGTTATTCTATTGTTTGAAGGAAACTTTTCATAGTTATGTGGGAGTATATAATGATCTAATGTTTGTTTTCAATGTGGACGTATTCACAAGTTGCATAATAGTGAGTCTGTATGATCAAGATGTAATTTTACGAAACTTTCTGAATTCTAAGCTGATGGAGCATTTTGAAGATGCTTAGCATGCTCAATTAATCTTTTGCAGTAACTGGGGCATTTTCGCCGTATAGAACTTACCTGAAAATGAGCTCGAGTTCATGTTAGCAAGGCTTGCCGGGATCGGACCATCCAATTCATTGTTGGATACATCCAAAAGCAAGAGATCGCTCTGCTCAAATTCCGGGACCCGTCCCGTGAATTGGTTCCCTTCGAGCCTCAGCTCCAAAAGCCTCGGCAATTGCTTCAATGACGAAGGTATGGCACCCCTGAACTGGTTTCCCGCCAAATGCAGTTTCTTCAAATACGACATACCCGCGAAGGAATTGGCAGGGATCTCCCCTGAGAAATGGTTGTATGACAGGAACACGGATTTCAGAGCCCCGAGCTTCTTGATCTCGGGCATCGGGCCGTCGAAGCTGTTGTTCATGAAGCTCAGAGTCCTCAAAGACGGCAAGCCCATCAGGGAGTCCACGTCAATCTCACCCTCGAGCCCCATATTCTCGAGTTGCAGCCCCCACACGCTGCCGTTCGTGCAAAGGATGCCGATCCAATTTGCCTGGTCACCGATGCACGGGGAGCCACCATTCCAATTGGCCAACGCTTTCTTGTCATCTTCCAGGGAGCTCTTGAACTTGAGGAGGACATCGGCTTCCGAGGAGGCACCGAAGGTGGTTGCCGCTCCGTCAAGCAATAGGATAACAAACAAGAGGGTCCAAGACTTTGCTCGAGCTTGGGGAGCCATGGTCGACGATGGTACGGCTATGCGCACTTGTCGTCGGGCCGCCGCGTGCAGCGCCCTTCCGAAGGGGCCAGGCTGCAATTGAGGGAGGTTCCTTTCTTGGTGGATTTTTTGGGGGGCGGGTGAGAGGAAGGGCCTGGAACGGAGGTAGGCAATATTGGATGGACAACACACAAGCACAAAGCAAGCACCCTTGAGAGAGAGATTGCCAAGAATAGGAGATGAAGACAATATGGGAGGGAGAGAGAGAGAGAGAGAGAGAGAGGAAGGGGAGGCAAAGAACAAATTAAGGAGGGAGGTTAATGTCTCACTTTTGCATGAGCTGTACCAAAATGCTGTCGCTAGGAGAGAGATCTCAGGCTGGCCTCTAAGTTGGACAGACAAATTTGGCAAAAGATCACTCTTCATCTAGTTATTACAGTTGGCTGGATAATTTTGCTTGTCTGTGATGCAGTAGTGATCAGAAAGAAACTAACCCTGGTGTTTGTGAGCTAGAATTGGTCAATTACCATATAGGAGGCTCCCCACTTTGATAACAAAGGACTGGTCCTTGAGTCTTGACCAAGTTGAGAGACTACCTGATAATTCGCCATGCAAAGGAATTGTCATGAATCAGGAGTAGGGGTGATTTGGTGAAATGCGCGGTAAACTCGTCGCATGGTATTAATGAGGAAAATATTAATGATATCATTATTATGTGAGCATTGATGTTCAATTACCAGATTTTTTTCATTTTTATATTGTCTTATCACCACGAAAAGGGCAACTCTATTTCCACTCCCAATATGGAGTAAAACACACATTTATCACTTAAAAAGCCTAAGATGCCTTCAATTCAAATACGCAACAAAGTTGGCCAAAAAAGGCTAGTAAATTGGGATCTAAACACACAATTCAACTCCATCTTCTTGCCAACGAAGTTTGAATTTGTTTGTTGGCTTTCACTATATATATTTGCAGCTTATCTTCATGGGATTCTTAGTTGGGTTGTGTGTGTATTTTTTTGAATTTTTTCTTTATGGCTTCGAGATGGTGTTTAAATCCCAATTTACTTACCTTTTCTGGCCAATTTAGTTGTCTATTTTAATTGAGTTTTAGACTTTTCAATTAATGAAGAGTGTGTTTTAGCCATATTGAGAGTGGAATTAAAGTCTCCACCACAAAAATTCACAGGTAGTGGACGCAGACTTTTGTAACATGATGTAGAAACCAAGGATTGAGCAAGGGAACACACAAGTCAAGTCTCGGGTTGCTTCATGCTTGGTTTCTTTCTTCAAGTATGGTGAATTCCTTCGGATTCAGATGATTCAAGACTGAGATCAGGATCGGTATCAAGATCGGGTTGCTTTACCTCTTGGATTTTCATTAATTAAGCGTGGACATTACAAATAAATTTAAGGTAGTTCGGCTCGGTGGTGATATTAGGGTAGCTTAGCGCGTTAAGCTCCCGTACGTGCATGGTCCGGTTGAAAGGTAAGGCTACGTAGATTAGACCCGAATTCGTCCGACCCTGAGAATGTCGAGGCTAAGATAATGTATAGCTAATTTAGAGAAACATGCATACTGCTGAGAATTTCATCACAACAACAGTAATAACAAGTCTTTTTCGCCGACAATCGAAAACATCACTTTAACGATTTTACTTGCACCAAAACTAGTAAGTAAATGAATAGGTGGAATTCATCCGAGAACTGATGCTGCTTTAGCGGATCTAGTAAAGTCATATGTCCGAACTACCTAAAAATCAATTTCAATGATGGTTCCCACATGACTCATTCCCTTAGTCGACAATCCTATGAAGCATGACAATTTGATAGGATCAAAACTGGCAAATATCAGTCCAAAACCGCAGGGATTGCAGGGAAAATGGAAGACAAAAATGTCTGTTTATATCAAGAATAGTTTGGTTAATTCATGACACAGCACGGATACGAAGTTCAAGATCCCTTAATGAGGCAAATTTTCGGACTGAAATCTGTATACCCGACATCAACGAGACACAGGCCATCAGGAGGAGCTGGAGGAGCAGTCGCACGTCTACATGTTGAATCCGTCAGCTTCATCAACACATCCTCCTCCGAACCTGCCGCTGCTTCTCTTATTGATGTCGCAACAAGAACCCGAACCATCTGCACAATGATCGACCACCGCAAGATGTTTTTAAGGCTGAAACTAACAGCAGATCAAACTGATACAATGACAGAACTGAACAATCTTAGAAGTCTGAAGGTTAAATGAATGATTCCATAGGAAGACGAGTGAATCAGCAATCATGATAGTTCAGATCTTCTATCAAATTCTATAGGAAAGCTGCAAAGGACTGCTGACCAAATAAAACTGAATTGACGTGCCCATGCTCTCACGAGCAGTAAATAGACATAAAAAGTACCTTCCGAAGGAATCGATTAGCAACCAGCTCAATGCACATAACTTTTCTTCCTTCTTGGTGATCCTAGTTTAACATAAAAGAGAGTGCTATTAGCCATAAAACTGGAGAACATAAAAAAACCGTACTGCATCTTTCAACCAGCCCAAAGCATAAAAAACACATGAATCAGATTGATAGTTGATCAAGCATTGAAGTGAAGAAGAAATATGAAATATTGCAGAAGGGAAAATACTTACCGTGCCTTTTAATCTGGCCAAAGCAGCACGAGCATGATACAGGAAACATTCTGTTGGTGGGCCACTGAAACAGAAGAGATTTTCAGTAAGGCACAGAAGCACAAGTCAAGCATGCAAGGTTACAGCGGTAAAATGCCAGAGCAAGGATCCTCAAAGCACCGAGAAATCAAGTTACCCACGGATGCATATTAACGATTCAGATAGCATTCTTTCCAAGGGAATCAAGCAATAATCAGGTACACTACCATCCAGACATAGATATCCATTATTCGATTGAGTTCTCTACCAACCGTAAACTACCGCTTTTGATATCTGGTTCTTTCATATTTCTCAAGTTCTCTACCAACCCAGGCTCACAACTTTGAGACTTACCATTGTATATTTGGCCTCTTCCTCACAGATTTGCCGGTTAATGGTTAGATCTACTCAGCCGTGTATCTCTTCAAGAGATACCTCTGTCTTGGCTCCAATTTTTCTCTTGCTTGGCTACAGATTCTTAGATAAGAATTAGATTTTACACATCTATCTTGAATAGATGAACATCACCTTCCCCTGTGCATGAATTGTGATTTATTAAAATCTTCTCATCTATTAATGTTCACGATTGCTTAATATTTCTTGCAAACATGAACCAGTTAATTTTAACCAAACAGCACAATATGCACCTGAAAATAAAAACTTAGCTCTGGTTTCAGAGTGACTCCTCCAAGAGGTATTGATTAGATGTCTAGAAAAGAGAAAAACTTTTCAATTTAAAAAAAGTGAACAATGTACAATGGCTCAACAGACTGCTATTAAAGTGAGAATTCTAAACCATCCTCAAAACAAGCCTTTCTCATTATACGCAAGGAATCGACAACAGTAGTATGGTAAAAGAAATAACATTCAAACACCAATATGATCATCGTGTCAGATGTTTTATGGGTAAGAAATTTAGAACAGCACACGTGATATTTTCCTTCAATACTTCCTAGGTGCCCTCCCTAATCTTAACAAAAAATCACCACATGAGCACAGTGGTTAAAGCATACAATACAAGCAACAATCGGATGTAAACAATATGAACAATTACATATCAAGAGAAAATTAAGATGCAGATTCCCTCAATAATCTGAAGAAAAGATCAAAAGCATAATTATTACTCATCCATACAGAAAGATTCAACAGTAAAAAATGACTAAAAGAAGTTTTGGAAACAGATCATTTAGACTGCAAATATCTATAGGACTAAACTTTAATTCAAGAAAGCACTAGTAGTATCTTGAGGCTTGAAAGCTTACATATTTCTTGAAGCCTTAGTATCTCGAGCAAACATCTTGTATGACAGTAATTTCCCTTCTAGAAGCTGCAAAAATTGATTCACCCGACTAACTTCAAAGCTCACTTGTTTATTTCCACCTTCAAAAACATTATCCTTATCAGATAAGTTTAAACTCCGAAGATCCTCATTACCAATATCATTCCCGAATCCCTTGCTTCTGAATGCACTATTAACATTCTCCTTAGTCCCCTCGCTTGGCTCCCCATTTTCTCCATCCTTGAAAGGAAATATGTACAAATAGCGCCTCCACTTTGCAGAGAAATTGGGATGGAATGAACGTGATACCTACACTGACCTTCCACATCAGTGTTCTACGCGAATTAAAAGTATAAAGATCTTCCCAGCAAAATAAAATCAGTTAATTCTTCAGGGAGAGTCCAGGAGCTTCTGTTGCTAAAAGTAATTAGCAAACCATTACCTCAGAAACAGATAAAGCCCTGAGTCTCCTTGGTGCTGCAGTATTAACGGCGAGTTCAATATGTTGAGGTTCAACATCCTTTCTCCATGTATCTGGATATATGTAGCCGAAAACAGTTACTTAGTAGGTCCACCTAAAAATATGGAATAAAAGTAACTTCATAGATGATAAGTGCAGCAAAGGTTTTATTTGCTCATCCATGAGCCACCAAACTCATCCGATCCAGTAGTAGGACCTACTTGAAAACAAGTTAGTCAAAAAAACCTATTTTTATCTAAGATCATTGGGGTGTTCATAAAATCGTGTTGTAAGAATGAATCGTAAAATCATAAGATTTTATAAGATATGAAAATGCCATATGAATGATAAAATTTTCCAGCAAATAACTGGCTTGCGTAATTTTAAAGTGTATACACTAATTATAAATTTATCAGCCCTACACCTAAAAATGTCAAATTTTCGATGTTATTTGTCAAATTATTTATTTTTTATTTGTATTTGATGCAAAGTGGTATCAATTACTTGGATTGTCCACTGATCTTTCACATGGATGTTAATTTAATAGTAGGTTGTGTTGACCCGACATGAAATAACATATATTATTTTGTGAACCATGAATTCCTCTATCCTACATGGGCCATGCTGTAAAAGATTTTTAGTTCGCTTGACTCAATAAATTAAAGCTCTCCGCCACTTGGACGAATACTTCGTCCCACAAAAACTATTTGGGAGTCTAGTGGGTGTGCCTCGGTTTTAAGATCAATGCAAACTGGTCATTTCTACATATTCGGACTTGCTAGTTCAAGTGATGTATTAGGCTGAAGATTAGTTGCAATATATAGTCCAGCAAGTTCAGCTTCTTAGGTAAACTTGTGGGACCACTGCCAACTGTTCTGAAAATTTATGGCATGTGTGTTTGCATTTAAACAAAAGCAAAAAGTTCCTACCAAAATTTCAAATAACTATTTGAATTCCAAAAAACTGTCACAAAGTTATATGGAAATTCTACATGTCGACACTTAAGTATATAAAAAGTTTCAGGAGTTCCAAAATTAGAAAAAAAAAAAAAAGGTCAAAGTCCGTGAGATACAAAATTTAAAAGCAACAAGCAAAAACCTAAAGTCAAACCAAACAGGCCCTTAAGCTATTATACGAAGAAGTGGTCTAACATTTTATTAACATTCACACTCTCCCTCACGCGTATGTTGGATATTGGCCTAAGACTAAAGCATAGCACTATATAATAAGGGAGACACATAGGGACACATAGGGGCCTGGAAAGATTTGAACTAAAGATCTCCTGCACTGTTACCGTGTCAAATTTTGTAGGATCACGGTCAGCTGGTCTAAAAATTAAAATATCAAATGTAGGTGTGGTTGATATTTAAAAACTTTAAGAAGTTCAACACTAGTCTAAGTGTAATTTAAATATGAGCTGACAAGGTATCTTGGTTTTGACTCGCAATATCTTACTATTTTGCGAGTCAAAATGCGACTTTTCACTACTTTGCTTGAAAAGGCTAAAGCTTTTGGCAATCTCAAACAGACTAATTAAACAAATCATGTTGAGAATAGGTGAGACCAAATATGACATTATGTAGAGCAACATTGGGAAGTCTCCATCTCCGATATCATTTAGGCGATGGCCAGTCTAATCAATCTTTTGTTTTCTTTTCAGGTTTACAATAGTCATAAAATTCCATTAATGGGTACCAAGGGGTTGCAAACCATTTACAATCTAACTACAAGAGGAAAGACCCAAAAACTTCAGCAAGCAGACAGCCCAGAGAACAGCTCCTACAATACCAACAAAGATATAGTGGACAACTACTTATCTTTCACAGCACATGAGGACCTTTCCACATCATTAAAAGTGCTTACAAGGAATAAAAAGGATGGCATCAAAACCAAACAACTGTCTTGACTCAAGCTAATCACCTACAAGCCGTATGCTCCATCTTCACTAAGCTTGCAGGAAACCCAAATCCCCAACCCCCCACCTCCCCCCCTCCCCCCAACAACAACAAATGATTGAAATATATGGCTCTCCTTTGATATAAAAAAAAAGGGTTTCTCATACATCAAGATAGCATCTGTGAACAAAGCACTTTCAAGCATGCAGCAATTATAAGGTATCAATTACATAGAGCCACACAAGGATCATTAGCAACTCCAGCATTTTTCCTTCACTATTCAGGTTTATGTTCCTTCATTAAAATAAAAAGAGGTAGGTTGCTATTCTCTTTACAATTGGGGTTGATTTAGTGTTAAGGAACGGTTTTATAGCATGGATTAAGAGCCCAATATAAGCTCAGTTATCCAAACCACCAAGTGCAAACAGTATTATGTTTGGCCTTGAACTGGGATTCGACTTGTGTCTTACATATTCAACGAGGAATGCGAGGCATCTCATAGGTCTGAGATAGAAACTGTCACTACAATAATCATAAGCGTTTCTTATGTTCCTTGAGAAGTTAGATTCACTTTTATAAAATATTAAATAGGATTCATTTTGGTTGAGATCTTACTTCAAAGACGAGCCATGAGATATTACTCTCTCGAAGTTGAAAAGACAACTCTGATCTAGCCAACCAAGAATCCATTTTCCAACGTACTTGCAATCTTCAAGTTCATTTTTCTTTCTATCCTATCTAACTTTGGGATTTCATGATTTATAAATCTATGAAGAACCAGAAATAACAGGAGGGTCCGATGTGAACCTGTTTTAAAGTCCCCCTCTCATTGCCTATAGAATAAATATTTTAAATTCTTGAAAATGAGAAGGATAACTTTCACTAAAACTGCCCTAATTAATGCAGCAGGAAGCAGATAAAGTTTGCCATGCTTGATGTTCCTTTACAAGAAGGAAAAAATGAATACGTTTGAAAGGAAGTCACTCAAAAATTGAGAACTGTTCAATAAGATAGACGCATAGGAGAACTTTGATGAGAATGAATTATAAAACATACAGAATGAACAGACTTGCCCCAAAGCCGTTACTCCTTTGTCGGTACGCCCAGCAACCAAAGCACAGCCCTCCACCGGCAAGGACTTGTCCTTTAGGAGCTTAGCTTTCTTCTCATCCACAAACTCCCCTAGAGATCTTTCTATTGAGCTGTCCAAAAATAAAAGTTCATAGGTATAGATCATGTCAGAGTTTTAACCCAAGGTTCAAATCAAGTTTCACGACTAAGAGGGGAATATAGATGCCAGGATTAGGTACAGAAATAGGAGAGAAAAATTGCAGCATATGGCTTCACTTTTTCTTAGTTTGGTGAGTGGATGCTAGTAAGTACATGTGAGTGTCCACAAGCGTGCTTTTACTCTCCCTCATGGTGAGTGGTTGGTTGCCCATTAGCATATTTAACCTCCCAAAAGACACTTTAGAACTGGGTCTACATGTTGCAGTGGAGGACTAATTGTTAAAGCTTCAAGTCAGCGCCAAAGTTGGAAATTAAAGAGTTGTCATGAGGGGGTTATAGATTACAATGTTCATATAAATGACAAATATAGAGAAGATAGGCAACATCAAAAAATTATGACAAAGAAAGCAAGGTATTGATAGTAAACCAAATACAACATAATGCGCAGATAAGACAACGCATTGAGTGTAGACTTAAAATGCTCAAGGTAGAATCAGAAGGTGAAACAACTTACCCCTGGACGGTGTTTAAGCCAGGCTGCTTTTGCCAACCATCAAAAGAACCACCATGATAAGAAAGGACAATCTTATATGTTCTTCTTTCCCATCTTCCAGACCTATTCCCTCCTGGAAGACTGTCTAGTCCAGACTTCTCACAAGTCTCTGGAATTTTTGTATCATCATGAACAGGAGATCTCTGACAAGAAAATTCCCTATATTAAGTACCAAGAATTGAGACATTACACATACCTATTACAATTAATCACTACCACCACCAAAAACTTGCATTAACAAATTTCCACACAGAGAATCCTTACTACTATCATCCAAATTTACAGATTATCAGAACAGCCTATTCTGTACAGGTTGGGCAACAATCAAATTTCTTCCAACAACTTTTTGAACAGAGACCCTGATGCGTATCATTTTGCATATTGCATCTATTAAATTGATGCAACTTCTTAGTCTCAATAATACACACTCTAGAGGTTTATATTTTAACTAAGATGAAAGTATAAATTAACCAATTGATCTTGTACTTTGCATATGAGAAAACTTCAGTGTCTTATAAGATCATCTTAAATTAAGCAGACTCATGTCATGAGGGCTATTCCCAGGGCATCATGGTGGGACAAGATTGAAGTATCATGATTCCATTTCCATCTGCTGTAATATTAGCAAGAACTAGTTCCAATTTTTAACAGAGGTAGACTGAATATGCCTTTTTTGCCACACCAGAGCTCAGTAACTTTTCCAGAGAAGACATTGGAAAAACATATAAGGGACACATGCTAATCCATCCCCTGCAAAATGTGTACTGGTAATTCAACAGTACATGGAAGCACTTTAATTTCTCATTCACAAATTTCTGAAGCACAAGTTGAAAATTACAACAGGAGGGTATATGACACATATCAACAAGCTAGATATTAATTTACACTGATACAACAGAACAACTTAATAATAAGTTCCTCTTTTGTGCACGCCCTACTCCTTCACTTAAAGGTAAGACGAGGAGAGGGGCAAACGAAATCAAACATTAGATTCTAAAATCTCGAAAAGGGTGGATCACGACAGGGCCAATCCTTGTTCCTACTCAACCCTACTCCTACTCCTTGTGTTCGTGGAAGAACATTTTCACTATTTGGCTAGGAAACTATTTGTTCAAACTCTTGCTTCTAGACAAAGTGTGTGTCCGGTCAAAAAACTATTACCTTGAGAAACTACACGAAAGACAGGAAAAAAGAAGAAGTTTGTCTCTCTTGAGAAAAAGCGAAGAATCAAATTGTCGTGCTACTAGTGTTAGACATGATTGCGAAGAGAATGGAATTATTTGCATCAAAGCAACACAAAATTGAGTGCATAGTATCTTCATTGAAGAGTCGTATTAAACTCAGACACATCAAAATAACCAAAGGAGTATTGCATGCTTCTGAATACAAGTCAGTGCTGACTTCAAATATCTAATTGTTCGATTATTTTACTAACAGAATGCATGTCAACTAGCAGGAGAATGAATCGTAATTCTCGTCCTGAGTTTTGAGGATCTTGTCATAAGAATTTCAATTTAGAAAAAACAAAAAAAGGTAAACAAAAGAGGAGAGGGGGTGACATCAGTACATTGAAGATAACAAAACTATATGGTGTCTTCTCTCAGTAGGCCATCCAAGTCCAAATAAGACCCTGAACTCAAATGAATGGAGATAAGCATTTGATAGCTCTAAAACCAAAAACTCTATTACAATCAAAAAATGGAGTTCCCTGAATCATGAGTTAAATTGATTCATAGTCCTTCATAACAAAAATAACTATAACCAAATTTAGTAGAGTCGCTATGGTGAATGGCTGATTGGGGAAAAAAGGAAAAAAAGAAGGGGGCATGACTTAACATAACGGATCGTTTTGCTAATATAATAACGTCATGTTCTAACTTCTTAAGATGAACAAATTATGAGAAATCAAAAAAGAGACGCATGGAAGTTTTGTGATACATGAGTGAACAGTAACGACAATAAGGTTATATACTATAAAGCTCCCACATCGAAATATAAGTGGAGACCGAATATCTGTGTTAATTCTTTCAGATAGGGATTGTAGTTTCTTCGCCATCATTAAGTTTTCTTTGTCGTCATCATGCCATAGACAAGATTATAATAGAACACAAAAATTTGACAGATTGTGAGTTGATCGAACAGGTAGACTTGTATCACTCCAATATCCTACTCAATCATAAACGGCTTCATAAATGGCTTTGGTCGAGATTCGGCTTAAGCCCACGCATTCGACAGGTACCAATTGTCTGACATTGCTCAAGAGGGTAAAAACCATAACTGGGGAAATGCTTGAATCCCATCGCTGCTCATCAGAGAAACATTACCCAAAACAGAATGCCCGAATTCTTTATCCAGAACCCAAGGTATAAACACCAAATTTGACTCTTCTCAAAAACAAATTCCACTGAACTACTCCCCCTATGAAAAGCCGGCCCGGCAGTCAGATCATAACTTTAGAATCAGCATCAGAAACGAAGCAACCACTAAACATAAACCATCACCTCGGTCCCGAACAGCTCGGAAACCGACGACCGCCCATTGATGACATTGGAGTAGAAGTCCCGAACTTCTTGCCAGGGCCTGTCGTGCATGAAGTCGAAGCTCTCCCTGCGAGAAACGGGAGGAGCAAAAACACCCACCACCCATCATCATCTCCGCAAAGAAGGAAAATTTCAATCGCGGGTAGCCAGGATCTAGGAAGCTAAGAGGGCCGGGAGCGGATAAAGAGGTTACCTCGCCGTCCACCGCGCGTACTTGGAGGGCAGGAGGTGGTCGTAGTGGACGTGGACCTTCTCCTCGCCGCCGCCGCCGTCGGCCTCCGCCGGCGCTCCGCCTTGCATCGAGAGGGTCGGAGACGGCGAGCGGTTGCGGGTCGCGGTGCCTCGGAAGCGTCCGATCGGAACCGAGCTCGCGAGGGAAGCTGGATTGCCACCACGAAACGGAGCGGTCAGCATTCATTCACCACCGCCGGGTTTTGCAGCGGCGGATGGTGGAAGAAGTGCGCGCTCGCGAGTCACCGCCGGGTTCGGGCGGCGGCGGCGGCGGCGGCGGCGGGGGGCCGTGGTCCGCACAAGGGTGGTGCCTGGTTTTTTTTGGTTTTCTCTTTCGACTCCTCGGAAAAGGACTAACAATGCCATATGCTCCCTTTAACGCCAATTTTTCAAGCGGTCAGTTAATTCTCGTTAGTTTATTGGGTTAATACCGTGACGAACCCAAATCGATAAATTTATGATAAATTTATTTTAAATTAATTTATTAATCATTAAAAAAATCTGAATTTGTGCATATGTGATAAATTTACATTCCGTTAATTTTTCGGTAAATTTTACTATCAAATTTCTGAGTTAGATGGTACGTAACAGTTGACAGGTTTACTAGTTTGGGATTTTACCCCCTCCTTTTTGTCACAGATTTATCAATTTGTAATTTTTCGTAATATTATGCAACTTATCGGAAGGTAAATTTGTCCCAAGTATATCAGTTTAGGATTTTTTTTTATCAAAAAATTAATTTGAAGTTTTTTGTGATCAAAATATTAGTTTAGGATAAATTTGTCACAGGTGTACCAGTTTAGGATTTTTCGCGGTATTAACCCTTACTCTTATAAAGCATTTGGGAAATTTTTCAAAGAAGGATTTGAAATAGTGCTCTTTCTTTCATAAACAAAAGTTCATAATAGATATTGCCTCGAATAAGAACCGAAGTGAACAAATTAATCTCAAACAAGGATCTGAACTGGTTGTAGAAACAAATCTTCGTGGGTAAGGTTCTTTTGGCAGTTTGAACATGTGCAATTTTATCAAAAACTTTCAACTGGGTAAAAACAAAATGAGTAAAATCCCAACCATCAAAAACCCCAAATTGAATTCTTAGTTTTTCGTTGATTCCTCGATTCTCCGATGCTCGAACTGTCAGTTCATCAACATCAAAGTCTGTTTGAGACTAAATTGGGTCCATCGACCCACAGCAACCCTAAACTCTCAATCCGTCGACATCATATCCCTTCTCGTCCCTTCTCAGAGGTAAACTCGTAAAAGCACTACCTTGTGAGCGCACCCTCTAATTTCTTTGTTTCGACCAAAAGAAGGCGATTGCAAACATGTCAATAAGGTGCGGGGATATCATGGAATATACCAAACCAATGGCATTAACAACATAGTGATGGTAGAAGGAATGTTTTCTTTTCTTATTTGGGCAAACATGTGGGTGCATTCCATCTCCTTTTGTGGGAATCAATGCATGCGGCTGCATTTTTCAATGGCAAGTGGAATCCGGCATGCATTTTCTAATTGGATTTGCTATCGTCATGATCACTAGTGCTGGTCACAGTCCCCGATTTTACGGTTTTCTTCTGTGCAAATCGTGCAATTTTTTACTGTTTTCGTTTTGTTTTTCTCATATATGTTTGTCGTTAAGGATCAATCCGCTAATTTAATGTAAAAGACCCATGAAGTCATTAATTTGATTTTTCTTGGCCACCATCAACTCTGTGTTTTGGGTCATTTCCTTTAGGTTTGCTTTGGTTAATTAGGAATAACATAGACATAATAATACGTTCTGAGAGTTCACTAGTGCTTCTGATGCTGTTCTTCTGCATCTGCAAAGAACTAAGGAGGCAAGCTCGCAGTGAACTTTTATTAAGTGAAGGTTGAAGACAACAGTCTATGGATATATGCTAAATTTCCACACTGATCATCTTCAATATGAGTAGTGATCCTCAAGAACTGAGTAATCGTGTTCAAGCACCGTGAAGTCCACAAAACTGGTGAAGATTCATTTCGATGCGGAGTGATGTCAAAAGAAAATAGTATTCATAATTTTGAAGCAATGGACATTGCTGTAACTGTGAGTACATAGCCTTTTGATGCATAGATTTGAACAAGAAATGGCCTTAAGCAAATGTCAATTTAAAATGGTTTGAAGGAGCTGATTTGACATTTAAAGAAGTGGGAATAAATTTTGTGGGAGAAATGTGAAACTTGTCCAGCTTTACAAGTTTAATAACTCCATAAGTTTGAATTAATCCCGTCTAAATTTTATAATGTGCTGTAATCATAACTTGTGTTTTTCTATGTACAAATATGAGTTAGTATGATTATGGGGAATTGGCATAGGCTTTGAAACATATTGACCTTGTTTTAGCAACTTGCGTTTCTTTAGAAAAATATTAACATTTTTTTTTGCTTCCATTTTGCACCAAGTGAGGGATGTGGAATTGTGAACTAATCTGTGTTTGATATAGGTTTGCTAAAGGGCTGAAGAAGATGGGTTTGACATTATTGATCTTGATCAGTTATACTAAAAAAATGTAAGATGTGCCGAGGGTGATGGTTCAATGGAGAAGGATATGAACGTTGGAAACAGCAGCCTATATGTAGATGTGTTAGCTAATGATGTAGATTTTCTTAATATGAGTAGCCAAAATAAGTATAAATATATTGAGTTCAATCCTAAGGTTGATATAGAGAATATTGTCTTCAAGTTGGGGATGTGTTTTAATAATGCTAAGCAGTTCCAAAAAGCCATTAGGAACGATACCATAAAAAATGTGAAACATGTGAGGATCGATTAGAATGCACCAAATAAGTTAAGGGCAATTTGTTCTAAGGGCTATGATTGGCTCTTATATGCTTGCAAAGTGCAGAGGCGCGTTGTGGGGTATGATGGTTGCCATTTGTCATCATGTTACAAGGATATACTTTTAGCACCTCTAGTCATAAATGAAAACAATTAGATTAATCCCTTTGCATAGACAATTGTGGGACAAGAAACTTACAAGACATTGCACTAGTTTACTAGTATAATTGAAGAAAACCTTGGATTAATGATTCTACAAATTTTAAGTAGTGGACTTTTCTTGTGTGACAAGGAAAATGAATTGGTGCAAGTACTAGCAAATTTAATGTCTAAAACAAAACATAAATTTTGCTTGAGCCATGTGTATGAGAACTTTAGGTTCCTTCACAAAGAACTAGAATTTAAACTATTGCTTTAAAAGACTGACATGACATTTAGGATATGTGATTTTAACTTGACAATAGAAGAGTTAAGGGTAGTTGATGAGAACACTTATAATTGGTTGTCCTAGAGGCCTCCAATCCAATAGAGTAAGTCCCACTTTATGACAAGCTTCAAATGCAACATTTCCCTAAATAATTGATGTGAAAGCTTCAACACAAGCGTCATTGATGTTGGGGACCAGCATATCATGACAATGCTTGAAGCTACAAGGCTACGTTTAGTAATCGGGATAAAATTCAAGATAGGATAAATTTTATCATATCCCGTGTTTGGTGTTTACTCAAGATAGGATAAAGTCGGATATAGAAGGGATATAGTCCGGATAAAATTATCTTATGGGAGAGGTGGGATAAAGGTGAATAGGATTTTCATTATCCATAATATAAAATAGCAAACTTGTTAAATTAATAAAATTAAAATAATATTTGAATTTTAATATAAAAAATTCAAAATAACAAAAAATAACAATAATTTCGTTTTTATTTATTCTTATTTTTATTTATATATTCAAAATTTCTTTGTATCTTGTGATATAAATTTCATATATATAAATCAATACTAATTTCTTTATATTTATTAAATATTTTAGGTATATTAGTATAGTTTACTATTTAATAAAATTTTATTAGAGAATAATGGAAAGGAAAAAAAGAAATAGAGTAATTAAATAATTAAAAAAAGAGAGGGAGAAATAATAAAAAAAATAAGCAAATAAAAATGAAGTAGGTAAGAGTGCCATGAGAGATTTTTATCATCTTGGTTTGTGCAATTTTTAGGTTTATTTACACTGATATGACGTTCACAGCAAATAATTGACATGGTAAGATGTGAAAATATTCGGCTTTATTTCCACGATTCATCAAATAGTAGATAGGATATAACAAATCCCTTGGATTTCAAATCCTATCCTATCCAGTCCTATTCTGTCTAGAAATCTAGACGATCAAATGCAGCCCAAGAATACAGCTTATGGAGAGGATTCATAAGCAAAGGGATGGATTAGCCAAGTAAACCGTTGTGATCTGTCCTAAGACGGAAGAGATATTGGATCTTTAGAAAAGCATTCAACATCATGGGTTTCTGCCTAGAATGGGGAGGATGAGTTGGAATTAATGGGTCATATAGAGACAAGAGGGTTGTTAATATAAGACTTAAAACTTGTAGTTGTAGAAGATTGGACATTAGTGGAATCCCTTGTGTTGAGCAAAATCCCTAATGAGTTTTGAGGAATGACAAAACAATCTATTACTGACCAGAATTACACTTAAGTTATTTGATGCAGGTAAATGTTGAGTCATCAGACTTAGTCGATGAAAGAACTTTATCATCAGACTCAAAATTACTCGTCAGATTCAATGAGTGTTATTTTTGGCATGTTTATGCAGATAATCAAATTGATATTTTAAGATATCCTAATTGGTAATCACAAGATCGTTCCTCAAACACGAAGAACTACACTTATGGAAACCTTGATTTGATTGTATGGGCGATCAAAACACTCGAAGATAATGATTCTTTTTCTAACGGCTATGCATCCTATTTTGGGAAGAATCTCCAATGGGTTGATTTAGAGATCAATCCTCTTAAGACTATCCAACGAATATATTAGAAGTAGAGGAGTATAAAAAGAGTGCAAACGTCATACAAGATAGAAGAACTAGAATCGAGAATTCCAAAGTCTGAATAGAGCTTCGATCTTACACACTTGTGATTACTGTTTTCCACGTTGTGTTTTTAGAAAGAAAATTACTTGAGTGAAGAGTATACGTGATAGTGTAGTCTATCATCTGAGAAGCACTGCTCTTGTAATCTTCTGGTTATTCAATAGTGAAATATAGCCAATAGGCTGCCAGCGTGGAGAGTGGACGTAAGCTCGATAAAGCCGAACCACTATAAAGATCTATGTGTAGTATTCTCTATCCCTAAACTTTTATTTATTATTGCTAACATTATACTGCATACATATCTATCAAACAAGTTCGTCACAACATCGTCTTAATCATCAAACGCAATCATCTAACGACAATTTATATACAAGTTTGTCATATGCATACATCTGATATTAATCATACAAGTTGTTGACCTCGACTATATTCATTCCGCACGTTTAAATCATTTA